ACTTCCTAAAAGCCCCACTTATTTTAAAAGTAACTTTTTATTTTGCCTGCCTATTTGTCTCTCTTTAGACATTTGACGAATGCGTCAAAAATGAAATGAAAGAATGCGTCGATCCTCAAAGGATTTTGTACATCATTCCTTACTTTTGCGGCCATGAAGCCTTCTGCAGGTGAGAACAGTTATTTCGACGAGTGAGTCGCAATGTGTTTAACTCTGGGTAGGAGATAACAGCGATTAACCTACTTAAGGTCTGACACACAAGTGAACGATGCTTTTCGTATGCGTTGATTAGCAAGTTTGGAGCTGATCAGCCAATTATTGTTAAGCATTACACTTATTAAACTTTTTCTAGTCTAATATCAAACAGTTGTTCACCTACATCTGGGTGTAAATAGAGGATATTTGCCTATATATATTGTGGGAGGAAAAAGACAAATAAACTTCAAGTTCATCTCTACAAGCCTGTTTCGTGGTTGCCCACTGATCAGGGGATTTAATGAGAATAATCTTTACCATCGTTTATATACAATATAATCTAATTTCTGCAGCACAAAATTTAACAGTTTAGTTGTTGCGTAGGAGGGCTTTGTTTCTGTGGCGGCAGGAAGACACGAGTTCATTACGTTTGTTTGGTGTTGATAGTTCGGGTCGGCAGATGATTAGGAATTTTTAGTATTAGTTTATTTGTCTTTTTTCTCCCACAATATATACATCGTTCTACTCCTATGTATTGAGCACTGTTTTACAAAGTCAAATTTTGCACTTTATATATATATATATATATATACAGTTAGATATAGCTCTTTGGCATACAAAGCTTTGCTTTCATGTCCAAATTGAGCACTCTACTAGGATGAGTCATTGCTGCTAGCATTATGCATGCTCACTAGTTTATCTAGTTTGAGCACTCTGGCATGGCTTAGATGATACCACACGTATGTCGAGTCAGCCTGTCACTGGAGAAGACTTTTACCTTTAACCAAATCCCTCTTGATTTTCAACCTAATCTCCTTCCTTTTTGTTTATAACTAGGAGACCTACCGAACTAGCTCTTAGACAGGCCAAGATAAACGTCATTAAAAATTATCTGGTTGTGGGTGTTACTGAGGAGTTGGAAGATTTTCTGTTTGTTCTTGAGAGACTTTTACCAGAATTTTTCTCGGGTGTGTTAAACATCTACAGGACTCCAGGTCAGTGTGTATCAATAAAAAATTAAAAAAGAGAAACATGCCGGACGCAGAATTTCTCTATCACTGTCTTGAGCAATTCACTAAGACACGTCTGTTGAAAAACAGTAAGGAAGTTCTTTTAAACACTAGTTACGAAAACTCCATTATTATCAGAGGGTTGCCCTTCTTTAGTTTAAACAAAGCTTGTTACAATGACTTACTTAAACGTTACGAACGTCAGTATTGACATGGTATGGTAGTTAATCACGCTTTAAGCATTTTCCTTTGAGTTTTCGTTTGTTCGTTGTGACATTTTTGTTTCCGGCTTCTGATTGGATGTTATAATTACTGTTGTTATGGTTCTGGGACACTCAGTTAAAATGCGTCAAAATGATGGGGATAAAGCGTGAGACACTGGGCACATATCTTATGTAAAACATTTACTTTTTCTCTTTTAAGTTTCCTAAATCTATTTTACATTTTTTTTTTAAGACGATAACCTCAATTCCAAGATGACATCAACTAAAACCGTGAATAAGATAGGACCTTCTCCAGAAGTACAACAAATAATGAAGAAACATCTGCAATTAGAATACGACTTTTATGAATTTGTAAAGGAGAGATTTCATAGACTGAAAGCCGAACTCAGATAACAAAACGACCTAGTTGTTGGAGGCATGGTGCATTTGTATATCATCTATGTATTTCGGTGCTTGGTAATTATCATCCATCAGAGAGACGCAAATCTTATGACCCCTCAGACGACTGATATGGGAAAGATGGTGCAGAAAGCTTCGATTAAGATTGTCCGAAAAATGAACTATGAGTTCGCCAAGAAGTTGATCTTCATGGACATGGGATAACCTGAATTTTAATTTGTATCAAAATGTATCAGAAGTCCAGGTTTTATCTAAAGTTATCATCCAATAATTATTCATGACTGCAATTTAGGATTGTTACCTTCATAAATGTCATGGTTATTATAAGTATATACATAAACAGTGGATAGCAAGGTTTTGTGCTAACTTATCTCACTGTTTCAGTATACATTAAAATAATTATTCAACTCAGTGTCGCTCGCCAGCGGTGGATATTTACAACTTTAACCCACCTCTACTTCGGTGAATTGTTGTTTATCATTGATATTGTCGTTAATATTGTTCTTAATTTTGCCATTAAACAATTGTTATGGTTATTATTATTAATGAATTATTATTAATGATACCATTACTACTGTTATCATTATTGTTCTTAAGGTGATTAATTTGGCAGCTAGAGGGGTTTGTGTTTTGCTGAAGTTGAGAGTAGAAATAGGCCGCCTGGGGAAAAAATTGCTGTAGGCTTAGCTGTAATTGTAAAGGTAGTAAATAAGTAAGTAAGTAATTTATTTAAACACGTAAACACCTAAGAGTTAACAGAAACTCGTTCGAACGTGCACGTGTGGAAAAAAAATTACAAAAACCTAAGTGAGAAACTTTAACTATCTAAGATGTAATACCTATTACATTAAAAATACATCATTATATAACAATCTGTTATTTTTGAAAGAGATAAAATTTGACATGAACATTTAGAAAAGTCACAAACTATAAAAAGGAATAAAATAGATTAGAGAAAAATAATAATGACCAAATAACCTAATATAAGGATCCTAAGTTGAACTTATGAAAAGCCTTTTGAAACTCTTTAAGATTGTCTGAGTAACGGTAGCTTATTCCACAGCTTGCAAGCTATAAGTGAAGAGGATTTATGCATCCACTCAGTGTTAAAATGAGGCTGTATCAAGTTACTTCCCTTACCACTTTGTTTATAACATATGTCCCTCAAATTCAGAAAATCGGCAATGTACTTTGGACCTATTGTGTTAAGACATTTATAAGTCAACACCAGAGCTTGGTAATAACGACGATGTTTCAAAGTATTCACGCCAACGATACTCAGTAAGGTTACGTGGCTTTCATTCTTTGTCCTTAATAGAGTTCTTAAGATATAATAGTTAGCATCTTCGAGTCTATCGCTCTGCTCCTTACTAAGACAGGCTAAAACTGCATTACAAAGACAGATATTCGTTTTAGGAGCTGAGGTCTTGTAATAATTTCTATGTAACTTTGCCGAAGTACGTTTCATTGTTAGAAATCTTCCTATCCAACGTTACTCCTAGAATCTTGAGAGTAGACTTCACTTCGACCTTCATGCCGTTGATGAAAAGGTCCCACTTGTGTGTAGCCGAGCCAGGGATCATAGCCTGTGACTTGGTGTTATTAATTGAGAGTAAATTTTGCTCGAACCATGTAGACAGCGAGGACAATTTGTTATTTACCATGAACTGTAGAGCTAAAGATGAATTAAGTATCAGAATTATATCCAGTGGTGTCATCGTCATATAGTCTTAGTGTCATGTACGGGATACTGTATTTGACATCGTTTATGTATATGCTGAATAACAATGGACCAAGCAGAGATCCCTAGGGGACAACTGCCATGACACATTTCCATTCAGAACAAATACCCTCAGTGGTTACCCTTTGGCGTCGTTCCTTCGATTACTCTCCAATTAAATCGGTTACAGTAGTTTAAAAGCCGTAGGCTTTTAGTTTAGCAAAAAAGAGGTTATGATTGACACTATCAAATGCTTTGCTGAGGTCCACTGTGACAACTGCAACAGAATCTTTAGCATCCAGGCTAGCACGTTAGTCCTCTGTCATCTTTAATGTAGCAGTAGAGTAGGAATGACTCTTTAACAATCCAGAGAGATTTTGAGAAAGCAAAGGAGCTATTTTAGCATACATCTGATCAAAAATAGCATTCTCAAAGACTTTTGAAAACGTAGTCAAGATGGAAACGGGGCGAAAAATGGATTTTTCAGATTTGCTGCCCTTTTTATGTACAGGACTGATAATACTGCTCTTCCACTCAGTGAGTATTGACTGAGTCGTGATGAAATGACTGATTAGATAAGTCACTTCATCTGTAACGCTCGGCGCAGATAGGCGTAGTAGGCAAGAGAGATGTTGTCAATACCGACCGACTTGCTGGGATCAAGGATTTATTAAGATGTTTTTAATGTATTCAGTGCCAACTGTGTTGAATGAAAAATCATGTAACCGATCACCACCCGTTATTCATTTTACACTGGAGTGGGAGTCTTGATCGTCGACTTCCAAAACATCCGTATCGTGATTTGCAACATCAACAAAATATGAATTAGAGCATTCCCGGCGCTATAAATCGTGAGTCCGTGATAACATGATCTGCCTCGACCAGGATAATCCTATTCTGAGACTTGTAACTGCTTTCATTTTCAATGATCTAACTTTGTCTTCGATTGTCTTGTAACACAATGTAAATAATACACTTCGTGTTCCTGAGTCACGCCATGGAATGCCCTCGAACATTTTTTTCGGATGATGTAATGCCACCAGAATAGTGGTGTTGTTACGTTTGCGAACGGCCGAATGTTCTAGAATATTTCATAATTGTATATAAGGGCTTGGGTTCCTATGGCAGTTGTAGATGTTCTTATCGTCAGGAAGTAACTGTTAGGAGCAGTTAAGCTATTCTCAGAGAGCTAAAGAGAGCTACTGTGGTTTCTTTAAAGTCATCATCGAGCGATTTGTGTGGTGCTTTGAGACGGGAGATTTCAGTGGAGACATTTTAACGTTTACAGTGAGTTCAAGTCAGTCGTGACTGAATTGTTAGTTAGAGGTGGACCTAATTTCATTGTTCTCGTGAATTGTATTATTTGAGAGTCGCTCCTTTGTGATTATAACCTATCTACACGATTGTTTTGTGCAGGGTGTTTAGTCACCGTATCTTTTCTGTCTCTTGTAATATAAGTTTGAGTATAGGATTTGAGAATCCATTGGATAGTTTTCATTCTTAGATACTGTGGTTATATGTTGAAATATTGCTATGAAGACTTTGGTGCAGATAAATTTACGGGGACAAATGCAAGGAGTTTTGCTCATCTTGAATCCAGAAGTTTCCTTATGGAGAGAGAGGGGGAGGGGAGGGGGGAGGGGTGCGGAGACAATCGCTTACTTCACCATAATAGGTATGTGCGCCAATCAGGGTATGGTTCTCCGAGTTTTGGATCATAGACGGGGTACACAATTTTACGATTTCGCGGTTATAAAAGGGTGTCCCTCTGAAATGGTGACATTGAATAGGGCGTGACATTGGCAATGTGTGGCCAAAATGTGGGTTGCTTAAAATCGAATTCTAGCGTGTCTCTGTTCGGGAACCTATTCGTCGCTGTGATTTTACCCTTCATATTTGGAAACCCTCGGATTTGTCCGCAAACTGCAAGGGGGTGGGGGGGGGGGGGTTGAGGCTCGAGATCAAGTACCACCACCAACAACATTGTTGAACAATTTCAAGGTTGGCTGTTAAATGAACTTTTGATAATGTTGGCCTATCTTGAGCCTTTAGTCGAGAGCTTCACTCTCCGTCGTCTTCTGTTCTTGCTCTGAGTCACTTTGGAAAAGTCAGGGAGGCAGCTTAGTCTGTATTTCTGAGGCTCTCAAAGTGTGACCCTCTTTTGGACAAAATCTGCGCATTTCGCTACCCTTTTCGAGTAAAAAAAGGTCACTAATTGAGATATATCATAAAAAGAAAAACTGATAGTACCACATCGAAAATCTGCACACAAGCCAGAGGGCAAGAGGAGACCTGTGCCTCTAATCTCTTTTTCAGGGTAAAGATCAAAGCAATTGTCAATTGTGGGTCTAAAGTGATCCACCGTCAGGCTTTGTGTTTGCTCTCCTTCGCGATGTGATTGGGCCGGAAAACCCGCACTATCTTCTCAACCAATCAAACGCTTGTTATTGGCTTCACCTAAATCTAGTTTTTACTTTGCGTTCTCATTGGCTCCTTGAAAAATTTTTCTTTCCTCTCATTGGCTGTTGCGATAACTTTGGCTTCTGTTTTACGACAGCCGACCGAAATGCTTTTCTCCTCCAAATTTTTTTGTTGAACTTGATGTTGAGTGATTGTTTTTTGTTGAAGTGCCATCGAACAAGCCCAATGCACAAGTAATGTAGATTTAAGAACGAGGCAGATGCTAATCAATGCGGAAGTTCTACGTGTGTATGTGGGGGGAAGGTGGGATTGAATCACAAGGAAAATTTTGAGCACACAACGGAGCAAGACCGCGTGGGACATAAGTGCGAAGCATTTCCTGAACCAAAATTTGTGAGTTTTGTCTGCATGCTCGACTTCTTGTTAGTAAGAGAAAAACAATGTTATCCATGTATCATCTTTATTCTCTACACTCATCTACTTATTATTGTTATGATATTGTAAGGAGAAATTCTGTCTTGGTCACTCATGGGAGTTAAAGGGTTAAGGAGAATGTGTTAAAATGTTCTTGAAATGACGTGTTTTCCGTTGGCTTGCATATTAAGTGGTACCTCGCCTCACGAAAAAAATGCTCAATCAACTGAAATGAAATGACCCGTTACCCTCATCCTGGGTCTGGGATCATGGAGGCTGAGGTTTAGGCATGAGATTATAAAATATAATCTCTTGTTTAAAGTTTATAGGTTTAAGTCACGGTCTACGAGTCGTCTACCAGTATTGGCGACACTAAGGTGAGAGGGACTCTAAAGTGCCTATGACCAAATCTCTGTTGCAAAGATAAGGCGATGACTTAGGTCGTTCCAAGTCAGTCATTTGAAGTAAATCGTTCCTGGTGGATATGACCCATTCCCTCATGTCGTTTATTGAAATGAGGTCGCTTAATCAGTGAGGCTCCTGCCCCAAATGCGTTGGTACTGATGTAGTTCACTGATAAACGAGGTCAGATACGAAAGAAATAGATTTCCCTTGTGTCTCTGTCATTAAGGAAATTGATGGGAAACCGGGGGAAGGGTGCGTTTACTGGCTGTTTTTGCACAGGGCACTTATCGGGGGAGGGAGCTTGAGGTGGGCGTTTATTCAAGGAAGGGCATTTTTTTCTTGCGAGTGCTTATTTTTGTATCTTGTCCTTTGTCGCTTTCTATTCTGGTTCAACTATCGACGGCGTCGTATTCCCATATCATCTTTCGATTTGAAACTGTGGTGGAAAGCTCAAAAAAGGAGGCGCGATAAAGCCATTTATGCTAGCAAATCCAGAAAGCTGCAATCCTTCGAAGTTGCAACCTCCAGAAATAATTTTCTTCTCATGAACAGAAGAGAACGGAAGCCACAGACCTAAAACACCTTTGATATCTTTGATACAAAATGGGGGGAGGGGGTTATACCCCCCCTCTGTTTCGCCGTGGAAATTATTGCTGACTCATACTAAGATTGGATTAGCAAAATGTCTAATCTCGTGATCTTTACATTAGTCTCTTCATCAAGATTTTCTTTTAGCAAATTGGCGTGTTGCGAACCTATTTTGAGCTGCTGTCAAGGGCACACTGGCTTCAACAGAATTCCTCGAATTTTCTTTTAAACCGGATGACATTCCGTCGTAAAATGAGATGCAACTCCACGTACTTTATATCAGATCTCAGAGAAATTCTTAGAATTTCAATTCCGTGATATCATTTAGTTCCTCATAAAAGGAATACTAGGTGAATGCTGAAGTGCCAAATTTTCGCCTAATTGATATCCGGTCGAGGGGAGGGAGCCGTGGTAAATTTCAGAATTTCTTTCGCTTTCACGGGAATTTTGTCTTCGATTATTTAAAGGAACATTGGATAGCGCCTATAGAACTAAGTCCTTGGCCCTTATGTGTCCCTACGTTTGCAAGAAGTAACATTCGTTTGGAGGAAATGAGGATAAAAAGCATACTGCAGTCTCTAGAAAAGTCGATACCTTTTATTCTTACTTATTAATATCCTCGATAAACCGCGAAGGGTATATCTGTCCCAGAACAGTATGTTATTTACAGCTCCAAAATATCGGCGCTGTGATATCCGCTTTTCTTTGATAATGATGACGGTTCGCTGAGGTTGAAACGAATAAAACTACCTTAAAATAACCCCGGCATTTGCATGCAGCGGTGCGTTTCTTGAGATTACTTTCCCAGCCCACCTGGTTGGCGCATGTTGCGTGAAAAATCTTAAGCTACGCATCAGGTGCTTTTACAATCACGTTTTCGAAACTTCGCGAGAACTTTCACGCGGTGATTGGGCCGGATGTTATCAACAAAAATTAATTAGCGCTGATAAAACAATAGTATTCGAAGCGTGCGTAGAATCACGAGATTTCAATTGAAAGCAGAGCATGTTCTTCAGTAGTCATCTTCTTCTTTGATTTTGCTTCTTAATTGGTTCAGCAGATCATGAATTGACTCCATAGCGATACTTTTTGCCTGCTGGAGCCATCTGATGCCAACTGCGTCGATACGGTTCAGTTCAGCTAGGGTGGCTACGAGCAAACCTCGTAAGACTATAAACTCGCGACTGTCTTTCTCACCCGAGAAATTTTCCACCTGCGTTTGTAGATCTGTAACTCGATCCGATATCGATTGAACAGCAGATAGACTGCCAATGTTGTTAAATAATGCATCTGTGTCGATGTTCGTAGAACTTTCGAATGATGCTGACGAGTTGGAATTGTGCTGTGATGACGCACTAAAATGAATTTCTTCGGGAACTTCGGTTTCAGCAGACGCTGACGTTGATGGTACTACTTCCGGTAAATCGGAGAATAAAATCACATTTTCCGTTCTTTGGTTTTGCGGCTTTTCCAGCTTTTCATTCGGGGGAAATATTTCTCCACCGATCTCATCTCTAGAAAGTTTAAAATTATGTGCTACGCCACTCTCTTGCGGGCAAAATGCAGATTCCATGTCTTCTTCGCATAGCGAACATTTACAATTTACAACATGTCCCCTCGAATTGTAATTGCTTTGGGCATTTCGTTTCTCCTGAAACTGCTGATACCACGGCTTATTCCATTCTACCTGCCACGAGGGGATTTCATAGTTCGACGATGTGAACTGTGGAAATCTATCTCTGTTGCTTCCACCCGACGCCATGTTGTTCCGCTCGGGAGTTTTCTTGTTCCAAAAAATTAAGTTATATCACGATGACAAGAGGTGCGAACACGTTTTTGACCCAAGTAATCCACGCGTAACAATCGCAAATTATCTGAACGAAAAATCAGGCGGCAAAGAAACAAATAAACCTTGTAAAGTACAAACACAATTCGAGAACATTCACTTCGTGACCACTGCCGTCGGTGTTTTGTGGTGTCCAGCTGAGTGACAAAACTAACACAATAGGGGTGAGAAAGACAAATTTTTGCATTTCTAATCAGCGAGCTATCGCTTGGAAAATTTTTTTAAAAGATTCCTTTTAAGAATCTGAAATCATCAAAACTATAATTTGGAGCTTATGATGATTTCCAAGAAGAAAAACTCTGCAAGGGGGGCGGAAAGAGTAATAGATAAACATGAGGATGAACGCGTGGGCTCCCCCTCTCAGGTGAATAGTTTCTTTCGTGCGCGGTTACATGGTGATTACTGTTTCTAGAACATTCGATCCACTCGCCGACATGAAGACAGTTGTCCTGGTCGGTGAACGATTTCGAAAGAACCCAGTGTCTACGCTCTGTGCTTATTCCTTGATTTCCGCGTGATATCTGTCCAGTTGTACAGGAAAAAGCTATTCCTCATTCCGAGATTTTATTTCGAGACTTCAGCTTGTAGTGAACAGAAGGCGTATATGGGGAGAGATTTTTATTCCGTTCTTGGGGTTCCCAAGAATGCCTCGGTGGAAGACATCAAGAAGGCTTATAAAAGGCAAGCTCTTCTGTTTCATCCAGACAAGAATAAAAACTCTGGAGCAGAAGAAACGTTCAAAAAAATATCTGAGGCCTACTCAGTGCTAACAGATCCGGACAAAAGAAGAATATTCGATAGCTATGGCGAAGAAGGGCTCAAGAACGAATGTGGCGGGTTTGGTTTCCCTCCATTCACAGACCCCGCGCACATCTTCCGCGACGTTTTTGGCAATGATCCTGATTTTCAGTTCTCAGGTAGGTGATGGATTTTTATCATCGAGAGAGATTTTAGTGTGAATTTATCACAGGTAGTTCTAAGTCGTCCATCTTTGAGCTTCTTAACGATATCATCAAGAATAGATGGTATTAACAAACCGAGTGGTTACAGATGTTTTCGTCTGAATTTACTAAACTGTTACATTTAACCTTAAAATAAACTCTAGAAAGGCTGTTGATGTATAGTTTGGATTTTTTCATTATTTTGGTACATTCAAGTTGTTGCCGAGTTCGCTCAACTCGATCCGAACCGTCATGAAAATCAGAGTACAATACGTTTTGCGCGTTTTCTAGTTCTAGAAACTTCTATATTTTGATCTTGTTGATATTGCACTTCTTACGAGCCAGTAAGATTTCGATTTTAGGTTATCTGTCACTATTTCATTGGGATTTTGTCAAGTATTTTAATTTGTAGAAATTAAACACAAAATTTTTGCTTACGAGGAATCGTTCGAATTGAGGTTTCAAAACATAAACCTGGTCGTTTCATCAATACATTTTCTGTTCTTTACTAATAAGCGCGAGGGTTTTCATCTTCGTTGGCGAGCATTGAGCTCAGCATTTACGTAGTTTCTTGGTATTTAGTTATGCCTGACGCACTTAAAAAGGTGGCTTGGCGAGATCAATGTGTTACTATTAATTTCTTGTCTCGACCAAAAATGCGCTCATGCGAAACAACAGTCGGCGGTCACTAACACATTACTGGTCTGTTTTTAACTGTGCATCTACTGGAATAAGTGTTCCACTGAATTTTGCCGGTTTGTATTGAAGGGAAAACGTAATAGTCTTGAATTGGCAGTTTATGGCTTTCCTCACAGTTTTAAATTCTGAACACTTTGCATGTTTGTCGTTTTTCAAGCATATCCGATGATTCTGGAATTTTCTCTCGACTACAACGTATATATTGATACTTTTTGTGTTTGGTTTTCGCTTTGTTTTCATTCTGTTTGTCCCTTGAAAATATATTTCTACTTCAATTTGCCGAATATCAAATTCCTGCTGCAAAGCTATGATGAATAAGTTTATCGTAAAAATCTCCCTCGAGTAGCATTTGGATAATGTTTCCATTTTTAACATAGTTTTTCTTCGATGATACAATCAACTGAAGGGGCATGAAATTTCGTAACGCCATAATTAGCAGCATATCAAAACCTCCCTTCATTTTACTTTAAAGAGTCACACCGAACCATGATTCAGGAAATAACTAATGGCAGTTGTAGGCCTATTTTCGAAAATTAAGTGAACTACTGAGCACATTTGAACTCATTATCTTTGGTGTGCTGATGAAAATTGCCAACTTCCCTGTTCTAGAACCTTCCATTTAATTAGGGGTTAAAGCTTGTTTCATCTTGTGAAAGCAATAAGACTCTATCAATTAATATTGGTTCCTTGTTTACACCATCTGCAGTACAAAATAACAAAGAATGAAATGATTTCAGTCTGGAAGTTTCTTGTGGAAACAATTTCATTTCCATTGGAGCGACTAATCAGAACACCAATTTCCTGGTGCATTTGAAGTGTGAAAACAGAGCAACATTTCTCAAAATTCCATTTCTTCTGGAACATTTCCAGTAGACTGAACCAGAAAGTTTCTTCATTTAATCCCTTGTTTTAATAGAATTGTGGTATTCAGCTCCAACACCCAATACGTGTATGTACAGATGTCACATCTCATTTCCAGCTAGAAGCGTTAAATTTAAACTACATATTGTAAAAGATGGAAAGTACGTACTTAAGAGTTTTTCAACGAATTCATGAGACTACAAGAGTATATTATTTGTGTTGAATTTAGTAGTGATCTATTCACCACAACACAGAGTACAATGTACATAATCACATTTTTATTCTGTATGTTTCTTTCTTTCACAGACTTCATGGATGGAGATTTTAACCCCAATTTCTCTCGCTTGTTTTCTACCTCACGGAACTCATCAACCTTTGGAGGCTTTAAACATTTTTGTGATGAAGATTTTGACTTCCCCTGTCCTGAGCCATTTAAGAAACAACCTGTTCGAGATCCTCCTATTGAGACCAACCTACAAGTTTCCCTTGAAGAACTTGACACTGGATGCACAAAACAACTTAAGCTAACCAGACAAGCCTTATCTCCCAGTGGACAGGCTTCTCCTGAAGAAAAAATTCTGACAATTGAAGTCAAACCTGGCTGGAAGGCAGGAACAAAAGTAACCTTTGAACAACATGGAGATCAGAAACCAGGAGTAATTCCAGCAGACATTATTTTTGTTATAGGGGACAAGCCCCACCAATACTTTAAAAGAGATGCTGAAAACAACCTCCTCTATACAGCAAAAGTGGATCTGCGTGATGCTCTTTGTGGATGTGTACTTCAGATTCCAACTATTAAGGGAAGATTCTTAGCAGTGCAGCTAAATGAGGTTATACAACCAGGAACACAGAAAAGAATTCCAAATGAAGGTCTCCCTCTGCCGAAATTTCCAGGAAAAAGGGGGGATATGATAGTGACATTTGACGTAGAGATCCCTACAAATTTGACAATGGAACAGAGACAGCATATTGCTGGCTGTTTTTAGAGCATTTTGTGAGCATAGAGTTTATCACAATAGTGAAGAAGACTGCCAATAATAGAAAGATTATTTCCAGTTGGTAGCATGATGAATGTATTTTTTGTATAGGTTGTTTAAATCATATATTTTTCAAATGATATTTTTCCTGCTTAATTGATACACAAATTATGGCACAACTCTGTTCATAACTGATCTTCATGTGACTTTACTTATTTTGGTGTTGAAATATTATTACAGTTGTTTTCTTTCAGTGTATATCCATTTTCCCCTTGTAAACTTACAACTGTAGCTTTTTCTTAAGCAAAAATCTCTCTCAATTTTTTTTAAATTCATACCTATCTTTAAAGCTATTTTTTTTCATGTGTTGGTAGCAAGAAGAGAGAACACCATGGAAGTTTTTAGCAAATGAGTGAACATTATAAATTATAACAGTTATTATTATTGTTGTTTAGACAAAAAAATGTCTTTGTTTGTCAAAATGCAGCTTCATATAATGTGTGTGAGGTTTTATGAGAAGTTGACAAGGCAAGTTTAGCTGGCTGCACTTTGAGTTATTGCATAACAAAGCGTTGGCTTAAACTGTATAGAGTTAATATATGCCTAATATTTATCTTATGGACTTATGATTGTAGAAAACTCAAATATTTAGGGGAGAGGATGTATTGTTGTATAAATATGTTATTCTTTTTGGTTCATGGATTGCTGAATGTCAAAATTAGCTTAGGTATTATTTGACATAAAGTGTTTAAATTGGCAATTTTAAAATTGGTATCACAGTCACTACTGCCATAGTAAATACTTGGTAATTTCAGCAAGCAAAATATTTGTTGATAAATCAACAAGTCTAATATTTTATGGTTGGTAGATGTTCATGACAATGTTGCAATATATTGTAAAATAAGATTGTTTTGTAGGTTTCTCTGAAGTTTTTTTATTAGATTGGGTGTGATTGTGTTGTTGTCATCAGCGGCTTTTTGTTATTAGGCTCAGCCAGGTGCTCTCTTTGGCAAATTTATGTTTTTAACTCAGTTTAAAGGTATAATTAAAAAATGTCAGAATGCATTCATAATTGCATTTACATTAATAAATTATACTTGATTTGTTTTGCAAACTGGTGGTAAATTTTTTTTAAAATAGAGGGGGTTAACTATCTATAAACCCTCTACTCCCTGAAATGATCAATTAATCAATCCCCTTGCATTTTTTGATAGACAATTAAGAGATTGAGCCAAACAGAATTAAGAAAATTCATAGTAATCATTGGGAATTTAAGATAAAGCAATAAGTTTTTGGAAACATTTTGAAACAACGACCAAATTTTCCTCACAATGAAAAGTAAGCTTTCAGATTATTTGTCCTAATTCCCAATTACCTTGGGTTATCCTGATCCAAAATAATGACCAAAAGGCATATTAGCAATCCCCATTCCTGCATAGGATGTAGTCCATCAGCTGTTACCCTTGCAAATATTTTTAGGTTTCATTTACCATTTCAAGTAGCATGTAGGAGTTGTCTTATTTTAAAATACAAGGCAAAGATCTTGAGTAGTGATTAATTCAGACGTTGTTAAAATAGTTAGGTTTGCAACCCACCAACCTATTCTATGACAAACTCTTTAAATAAATATCTTCCCACAATTAATGTCAGACTTTTTTGGTTCTATCTTGTTGCAAGACAAGGCACCAATGATCTTTTCCCTTAATCACAATGGTCATGTGAATGAGAAAACTTGTCCCTTTTGCTGTGCCTTAAGCCTCTATTTTCCTATGCCATATTTGCTTCAAGACAAGTTTGAAAGCAAAAGATTACAAAATCGTCAACTATTCACACTGTCAGACACTGCAGCTCTTTCTGGACAGTGTGAATCTTTGTCATCCAGCAAAGTTGTACCATTCCAACTTTACTCACCATAAAGGGAAATCCTCTGAATTTATTGTCTATTACAGTCCATACAGTTGTTTAAATCATAACTAATAAAGCATTAAGCTAATCAAGGAAATTGAAAGGAAGGAAATATAATTTCACATAAATTCCTTAGAAGCTTTTAGACAATTTTGACTAATATTTATTCCAAATATGTAAACCAAATGAAAGAATTCAAAGTGGCAATTCTTAGAGAACCAGTATGCCCTGTGAACCTTGATCCAGGAAAACAAACACTTCATGTTTGAATTAATATCTTTTATCATTTTCTAGAAGTTTAGAGAGTCTCACTAGATTGGATAATAGTCATGTAGATTACATAAAACTTTCAGTCATCTTTCCAAATATCATATCCTATTTTGGGAAATGCCTAATATTTTCACCCACTTTTTTAGATCAGCACTCACTGGGCACAATCCAAGTGAGTATTGCGTGGGAGTACAAAGCTCAGATTATGTAATCCACCATTTTCTTACGTCTCACATGACGACAATACATCTATTTAAGAGGGTTGGTCATTAGGAGCAATATAACCAGCCTCGTGTATTGCCAGAGGGTCACTATCATACGTAAACTGATCTCAATGGAAATTATCAGGTTAAATGTGGAGAAAAACATCTAAATTTTCTTTTACAATTGGGCATAAATGTGGATATTTTGGGGTCATGTTGAAATGTAATGTAAAAAAAGATTGAATAACAAGATCAGTAGGATTGTATCATGGGGGTCAATACCACATAGGAATGAATCTTGAAGGAAGGCACTGGGTTGAAGAGAAAACATTTAAATGTTCTATTACAGTTAATGTGATAAGCTGAATTATACATGCATTTTAATGGATTCTTTACTCATGATCTATTGGAGAGCAAACAGAAAAAAAACATTACCACTAACGTCATTTTGCCTCTTTGTCATAGAAAGGAATTAGCTTTTATGTTGCTGCAGGTCTGTCCTGAAATAGATCATGGAAGACGTCAGAATTTGGTGAGAGCGTCAGAGACACACTTGGCTGCACCTCATGTGCCTTTTTTTGTTCTCACTACATTTTGACATCATCTGTGATCTATTACCAAACAGATACACAACAACACAGAATTTCTCTTTTAAATAGCATATAATGTTAATAGTGTGATGTAAAGATTAATATAAATAAATAAGAAATAAACAACAAGATCAGCACTACATCACATGACCAGGTTTATTCGAAAAATCCTTAGAGCTTTGACACACTAGGACAGAGAAACTTGAAAATATATGAAATAGTTGAACAAAAAGAGAGAAATTGGATTTGTTTAACTTTTTATTCTGGAAATATTTTTCAATATCTAGAATATTTTTTTTTCCAATATCAACATGGGGAGTTGAAAGGTCCAAAACACAACCATATCCACTATAATTTCTATTAAAAGTTAGATCTAAAATAATATTCTTATCATATCTTTATATACGTAGCCTTGTAAATTTGAATCAAGAGTTACAAAATGAGAAAAAAGGGGTTATTACCACAGAAATATTCTCTTTCAGAGATATGCAATAAATCCACTATTATATATCAAATCATTGAACAAACAATAAGTATTTACAGCATCACACGGTTTCGATGTTTTTTTGTTTTTACATCATCTAGGTAGTGTATTCAATAAGACGTCTCTCTGAACTGAGGATAGCTGATCGGGAAATCGAATGTTATATTTGACGATCAAGTCACCTCTCTTTGAGGGATTTTTAGGCAGAGGAAGACCTTCGCCCTGAATTCGTTGTGAAGAATCAGGATTTACGATGCCACTTAACCTCATTTTTATCTTTCGGCCATCAATTGTAGGAACTTCGGCTAGTCCTCCGGTCAGGGCATCTCTAAGAGAGATGTCTGCGGCGTAGATTATGTTATTGTTGCTGTCCCTCGTAAACTTAGCATGCGGTTTGTCTTTGACTGTGAAAACCACATCAGCAGGGACGATACCAGGTTTACGATCACCCTCTTTAGGAAAAGTGATTTTTGTTCCAGCCTTCCACCCGGGCTTGACATTCACCGTCAATATTTTCTCTTCCGTGCTGAAAAAACCACGATCGTCCAGAACCTTCCTTGACACTTTCATCTTTTTCGTGCAGCCATTCACAAGTTCCTCCAGACTCACCAATAGATCTTTCTCGATCGTGGGATCTTGAATCTTTTGTTTCTTTGTTTGAGGCGCAATACAATCGGCGTCGAACGTGAAATTTCCCATATTATTAAATGTCGTGCCTGGCTTTCTACTCCTGCTATCATTAAAGAAGCTGAATCCCCCTAAACCGCCAATAAGGTCCGCGAATTCGTCGTCATTCTCAAATGCTCGAGCAAAAGTTTCGCGTGCATTTCCATTCGTGAAGACGAATGTTCTTGCGAAACCTGGTCCGCCTTGAAAACGCATGTTACTGTCGGTTCCACCGTTAGGAACACCATGAAGTCCTTCTTCTCCGTATTTGTCGAAGGTTTCTTTTTTTCCTTTGTCACTGAGGACATCGTATGCTTCGGAAATTTCTTTGAATTTGTCCTCGGCTCCTGGGCTCTTGTTCTTGTCCGGGTGCCATTTTAGAGCAAGTTTTCGGTAGGCCTTCTTGATCTCATCGTCCGTAGCTGTTTCTGAGACGCCTAGGATCTTGTAGTAGTCTTTTCCCATTATTTCAACAAGGACTCGGTCCTTTCAACTCAAACACTTTACTGATTTGAGTCACCTACGTCAACGTGGTGCTCTTTATACTATGTGGCAAATTCACCTCGAATGTTCTGGAATAGTCTTCATAGAATTCCTGATAGGGGAGGGGTAGGTGTACATAGACACTTGACAAGTTTTTCACCTTCTCGTCCTTTTATCGCATACACACAAACTGTGAACACTACGAGCTCTTCCTTCATCCTTATTTAGGGTAAAGAGGAGGAAAACGTTGCAGTTTAAAATAAAAAAGTTTACTCATGACTCATCAAAAAAAACAACTCTACCCTACCCTGGAGACGAATTTAAAAATCTCCCAGGGTTTTCCCGTAGGTTCTACTCGTTATTGGAGAATGACTCGAATATGATTAAAAATAGGTAGTTACAAATCGTTCCAGTACGCTCTATCATTCTCTAGAAATATATAAAACTCTCTATAAAAGTAGGACTTCTTTTGCTTGGTCATTCAGAGATTTGAGAGCAGAAGAAGAATCAACGTTTGCAATAAGTTTACTATATTGACGATGTACGGTGACATAATTTACGGAGATCCATGGACAACTGGCTATCCACCTCGACGTGGTCATAACGAAGGAAACCTCTTCATGAGCTCGGGGGATTTTCACGGAGAAAGACCGTTTCCCTTTTGGGAAAACCCAGCAGTTTACTTTCCACCTGCCAACCCCCAAAAAGTTTCCTCAAGGAAGAAAACGAGACGGGCTCCAAAGGATAAACAAATGTTGGATGATACGAGAGTCCCATTGCAGCACAATGCAAGGGAAAACCCCTTTTCGAGGCACGAGGGTACGAAACCGAAAGGGGACACAAAGCAAACGAGTCCATCACGGCCAAAGAAAACCCAAGATGAATGGAATATACCTATTGAGTATCAACCCCAGGAAGAAACTGTGACGACCAACGACTCTAGCGAGGAGGCTTGGAGGGAAGATCATTGTGATGCCACAAATGCACTGATTACAGATAATGAAGAACAAACCGCGGGCGAGACTGCAAAGACCTCAGGCGAACACAGGTGTATTCCAGTGACCACAGAGGACGAAAGTGCAAAGGAAAGTCGACCGGTAGTGGATAATCAAGATGACTCACCACCCGAAATACAAACTGCAAACGAACAGAAACTTGCGGCAATCAAGAATGAATTGGTGCGAGCCACAGAACTGATTTCCAGGGTGGTGGCCTTTAAAGGAACAAGGAAAGACAAAGAATTCCTTTATTTAGAAGAATATCTAACTCGTTGCTTACTTGGTCTAGACTTAATCGAAACAGACGGACAAGAGAATGTAAAATGCGCTCGAAGGGCAGCCGTGAAATATATTTATTCGATTCTCAATGATCTAGAAGATAGAGTCAGTGAAAGCTAGGGGTACTTGATAGACATGATCAGTACGATTATGTTGCTTTCTAAAATGCAAACTCGATCCAAACTCGGGGTGCTTCAATTTGGAACACTGCTTCTGTTCAGTGGTATATTATTTTGCGTCAATAGTAAAAAAGAAGATCAATGTTGACAATCAGATCTTAGTCTAATTTTAGTACGAATTGTAATGCAACCTCTGTCAAAACTCAAACAAAGAACGTGAACAAATTTAGGGGGTTTTTTATTTTTATTTTTTTATTTTACATGGAGTCATTCCTGGATTTAACTGTAAATAAAATTTTAATGCAAGTGTGTTATGTTAATGTTTTTCATGAACCTAGTTAAAAAAAAACTCAACCCCAGAAGCAATTGTTTGTGTTTAGAAAGGAGGGTATCTTTCGCGTAAAAAATTGTTTCTTGCAAAGGCTGCGGTCAACCTTTAGAATTTCAGGAATAAAATGTCTTACTCTTGAATCAAATTGAGTTGAATAAAACTACTGACGTCTCACAAAGCGAAAATTCTTTTCACCTGTTAAATATCTGCAACCACAAAGCCTCCAGTCGAGAACGGAATATTCAAATCACGCAACACGAAATATTCAGATCACTGTTTATTACGTCACGCGTCCGTAATTTTGTCGGTGTGTCACAAACGGAACACAGCTGTTGCATCAACGAATCGCCATTCACGCTGAAAGGAAATTATTTAAAAACTGCTCCAAGCGCTGATGTTCAATTTCTTGGTAAAGGAAAGAGTATTAAATTTTGATAAGATTTAAATCTGTCATGACAGGTTCGACAACTGGTACGGAATTGGAACCAGCTTTGCCTGTCACATGCTGAAAAATGAGTTAAATTGTCTATTCTAGGAATCGTTGAATTCAAATACTCTTATTTTTAGGAAAAGCTCATTATTTTATCAAAAGAATAGGATTAGTAGAGAAATAAGTTTCACCTTACTCTGAGATCACGTACGTGTAAGTCCCTCTCCCCTCCCCTCTCATGCATGAGCATACAAAGTCAGGAAGTTGAAACTTGAAATGAGTCGATGCACTTAAGTAATGCTAGAAAATATCGAATATAAAGGTGTTTAACAGATTTCTTCGGAAAGTGACTTTCCACCACAGCTGAATAGAAATATTCTGACTTTGCGTTTCATTCGGTTAAAGTTATATGCAATAGTCTTAGAAATAGCTTCTCGATTATAGTGGGCGATTAAGATGGTTTTAAGGCATGTAAAGAAACAAAAATTAACTTCCTTAAGCTATGAAATGTTCAAAATCGAAAAAGTAATTCAAAGCTGTTATGATGATTCAAATATATAGGGATCCTCCAAGCGTCACTGGCAGTTCTAATCAATGAACTGCTTTTGACCTTTTATTGTTGTCCTAAGTAGTTCAACCATATAAGGTTGGGTTTTTAAAGGAAATTTCTTTAAACAGGAAACTCTAACGCAACGACTTCCTGCCCCCAAGTCGACGATGACATGGCAACCTCAGCTGTTTGACCTAATAAACTTTTCTAGATTTACTTCAAGATAATTTTGAACATCCGTATTTTCAGTTATGTTCTTTTTTTCGTTAACCCTTGTACCTCTTTTGTTATGATCGTTAAAACCAAAATTTATCGTTTTCTATACCACAGGAACTCGTATGCGACTCTTATCAGTCGCTCTTCTGTTCAAGTTCCTCCTTCAGAATCTTCAAATCTCGTTTACATACACTGCTAGGACTCTAATTCGCAAAAACAAAAATATCTTTTATAAAGTCAACTCTGGCATTGGACTTTCTTTGCGAGCGATGAGTTCGTTACATTAAAACAAGCCATTCGTAAATGGCACGATTTTTTTTTTAATATGTATGTACAAAACTATAACACTGAAGCCGATTGCACCCTAATACACAGCCAGCTGGTTTCAAACATGATTTACAAATAATTACTTTTTCTGCAACATGTTTCGTTTTAAGCTGATTTTTTGAATTTCATTTCATACAAAGTAGATATTTCTCCGTGATTTTACATCTCACGTAAAAGTGCACTTGAGATGATTATTAATGCAAATGTACATTTACAGAAGTCCTGCTTCCGCGCAGGGCTCGTTTTCGATATAAATCCATTGTTATCACTGTGGAGCATTTTACCATCAGCGAAGCTGTTCAATTTCTGCCAAAAAATACATAGCAGTAATGTGTCTTCGATTATCCTGGTTATTTATTATTCTCCTGCTCTCTTCTTTCCTCTGCGGTAAGCCTTCCCACAAAGGAAGGCATGTCCGCAATGAGGAAGTCCTAAGCTACAGATTGTTGACAGAATGCAGTAGTTTAATATTAATGAAAAATATTTCTCACACGTATCAGCGCAAAATCAGCTCCCATAGAAGAAATCCGTTGTGTCAGGGGTATCTCGAGTGAGAACACCTCTGCGATGAAGCTCCCTTTTTCGCCTGGAGTTTTGCTGCTGCATTCCAGAGTCTACAATAGGATAAACAACTTGCAGATGCGGCGCGGGTACGGGTAACGCAACTCGAGCTTGATCGCTTAAATTTCCAGGAAAGTTCGGCAATGTTGATTGTGAATAAGAAGGTAGATTAAGCATTGTCGTTTCGCCTCTTTCCTGCATCATTGCCACTTCTTTGTCCCTTTTCTCTCGTTCAAACGCGTTCTTGTACATGTCTACCTCTCGGGTGAGTGTCGATATTAGGTCTTGACAGTCCGTGATTTGTTCTGAAAGCTCGGAGACTTTACTCTGTGCCTCTTCTTTGTCACTTCTCTCTTTCTGAAAGTCATTTTCGTATATACTTAGCTGCTCTACGTAGAGCTCCAGCTCAGAACATGAATTGTCCTTTCCTAGTGCTTCTGCTAATCTCAAGATTTCTGACTCCAACACTGTTTTGTGATCCTCCAATGACATAATTTGCGCGCGTGATTCGCGCAAACTATTCTCAAGAGCTTCGATTTTCGATGCGAGATCTTCCGCTTCGCCTCGATCGCTTACGCTAACGAGGGAATTAGTATTAGAGCAAGCGGTAGAATCACTCCCTGCTGTCTCCCTTTCTCTGAGTCTCTTTCTCAAATCATAACATTCTTCCTTCAACTTCCTTGACAACTTACGTTCGTTCTCCAAATCCTCGTTCAATCGTCGTTTGTCTCTGAGAAGAGAGAGAACGTACGCGTTTGTTCTCTCTAATTCACGTTCGACTCTCGTTTCTTTCGCATCCGTATTATCATCCATCGATGTTTCGGATTTAAGAAATTTTATTCTTACGATCTGTACATGTCTAACCGCTCGTTCTCTTACCTGACTGTATCGCGTAATGAAGACTATATACCACCGTGTGCGGAAGTTATAACGTTGGTAACGTCACGTGACGTAGACTTCTCAGAAGCCCATAGTTCGAGGTGATTTCACCGACGTGAATACATATATTCTATTCCCACATCTATTGGTCTTTGCTCTAAGTCAAGCTAAAATATATATTTTTCGCTTCGAGTTATGTCGAAAAGCAGCTGTAAGTTACGGAAATTGCATTGACATCATTAGTGATTGTTTTTCTCGAACATCCACTGCAAAAGTACGGGAAGAGAGTCGTAAGAATCAGACTTCCTGTTGAACGATATCACAATTTTGCGTTTTGTTTACATTCTAAACAGCAATATGGTAAAACATCACCACAGAAACACACTTGGTCGGAAGATATGTGTAAAACGTGATTCAGTGGTGTTTTTACAACCGACAAAATAATTTATTTTTTGGATCTCTTCGAATTCGTTTTGAATTCTGTCAGGACACGCACCTAGTGCAGATTTAATTAATCTTCCATTTTGAGCATCTTTGAATGAAAAATACGATAATAACCTATTTAAGAGAAAGAAACTGTAAGATTTTTAAGTCACTGGTCAAAAAGCGACACCCCGATTCAGCTGCTGAATTTCTAAAAATAAAAAGCTATTTCTTCGGGATTTTCCTTTGTCGGTGTAAGTCCCTTCCATATTAATAAACAAAGAAAATCAAGAAAAATGAAATAAAGAAAACAGTTTTTAACATCATTTTCGCTCGGTCATACTTTATCCTTTCGATTTTAAAACCTTAATTTATACATTAGCATCGGAGCGGAATGAGGAACATGCATTTGAGGAACATTTGAAGATGTGAAACCCCGTTCGATCAAACGGGAAATGAATACAGAGTGGGCAATTAGATCATCGATTGAAGTAGTTTTAATTTTACTTTCAGCGACTAACATCCACCTTTTAGCCACATTGAAGCAAAAAGAAACTTATATACGTGAATAACGTTAAAAAAGTAAGATAATCTGTAGTTTCAATCCCCGAAGCCTAACAAAGAATCTTCAAATTACAGGTTTTTCTTAGTATGCAAATATTGGAAACGTCCTAGCGTGACGTCTCTAGGATGTTGGTGTTCGTTACATGTAAACAACTCAGATGTCACGTTCTAGGAGCTTTTTTATTCTGTCAGGCCGGATTTCCCCATGCTTCGAAAAACTACCTTTTCAGTAAAGGTTTTCCTTTACCGAATTACACCCACTGACAAAATTTTTAAACTGCTTTATTTGAAATTTACAGATTTTAACATAAATGGATGTCGTTACAAGATGCCACCGAGATGGCCATGTTGAGCATCTTGGTTTGGTTTTGTTCTTTTGTTCCTTCTTAAAACATCCCTTTCTCGTTGTTTACAAAATTCAAACTTTACCTTCAATTACTATGAAAAAATTTCAGTTTCAGCATATTTGGAAGCATATTCTAATTTAGACCCATTCATAGTTCGACAGGAACATCTAAAGTTATGTAAGAAGTTGTTATTACAATTTTAATCAGAAATAATTTGTCTCCCTAGATGACAACCTGTATTCCATGCCACAATTAAAGGGATATAAAAAGAAAATAATACCATTATCGGTGGTAGGGCAGAATGTAAAGGTTGAATCCCCAATTACACAAACTTGTTAACAATACCACGCGCACAACTGAGTGGGAACTATTTTTGGCCTATAGATAAAAAGGACTTCAGAATCTTCCTGTTAACAAAAATCAACTTTTTTCCTATTTCTTTATAAACTAGTGGGCAAGATGCTCTTTTTGAGAACAATTTTTCTAAAATCAAGCAAGAGCACAGAGACTATTCTTTCTCTCACTTCTGTGCTGGCCAATTTCTACGTAAATGGAGAACTACTGTTAACTTGTGACCGTCACAAACTTGCAGACCAAGTGGGACAAGACGTAGGACATGTGAGAAAGATTTTAAAGATTAAGCAGGCAGTCGTGTCTCCTGACGCTGTCAAATTTACGGTCACAATTTGTATAAGTTCATGTTTCTCACTGCTTCAGTATAAACGTGCATCCTAATGCTGTGATTAACCTTGTCGATAATTATGGGAAACTGAAGCCGATCAAAATCCTTTAAGCAAGAAGAAAGCACGCCAAAAACCCTTGTGCTGTGACGCAGCCTGGGCCACGAATTTAGTATTTCCTTTACAGTTCTAAGAGACTAGTTCATATTTTTCGCCTGAGGTAGTGAGATTGGGAGGATTTTGGCGGGGATCACATGGTTATTTTAGATGGAAACAGTGGGGAAATCATTTATCTCTAGCAAGAGGACTATAGGATATGGAAAACCAAT